CCAGTAGTTACTGGCTTACAAAAATTCATTTACAATAACAGTAACTACTGGGTTACAACATCAAAGCTTTTACAACACCAGTAGTTACTGGCTTACAAAAATTCATTTACAATCACATATCATGACTAAAATGTGCAGACGATCTTTTGAGTCCCCTTAGTCCCTCGCAGCCTCTTATAAGGCCTGGCATCGACACAAAGATCATTGATACTTAATACAAATAATTGATAAATATTTTTGTGCTTGCAGCTTTCAGCTATGACGTTGTACTCAGACACATTGAAACAAAACACATCTCAAGAAATACACCGAGTACGAAACATTACGAATGAAACTGAAAATGCGCTCCAATATGTTAAGAGTAAGTAATGAACTACGTCACTTCCTGTTAATATGAATGACGTACTTCCGGTTTGGTTATAGACACTTGTGTAAGCTTTAACCAAAACGTTATGTTTTTGTAGGTGTAAACGAACTTACATTCAACATCTCCAACCAATTACAAGCCTTGAAAGTCTCAGCCAATCAAATGCTGTCTCACGTATCTACCTTYCTCAACCAAACATTTGACAGTGAGTCAGTCAGAGCTGAATAYGAGCTTTCCAATGCCAGCTATGTCAATAATACATTAACGAGAATCTCCAGGCATAACACTACGACTCATAGAAATACTGCAGAAGCCTTGAATACCACTGTCACCAGAAATGAAAAAACCTCCAATGAGAAACTGGTCGAGTTTAGTAGAATCCAATCAAGAAATGATGACGTGAAAAGGCTTGTTGCACAAGTGAATGTGCTGGTTAATCAGACATTGGTAAGCATGGTTTCCTTGTTTTTAGTTTGTTGTTGTCCCCTTGATTCAACAGGCTTTCTCTGGGTTCTCTGGTTTTCCTCCCTTTGCAAAACCTACACACTAAAGCCAATTCGGTCTGAAAGCTAGCAGCACCCTTACTTAGATCAGCCCAGAGGTGGTTTCAGGTTTTGCTGTGTGAGTTAGCCATACCCTGACTTAGATCAGTCCAGAGTTTGTTTCAGGATTTGATCTGTGAGTTAGTTGTACCCTGACTTAGATCACCCCAGAGGTTGTTTCAGGGTTTGATCTGTGAGTTAGTTGTACCCTGACTTAGATCAGCCCAGAGGTTGTTTCGGGTTCAATCTGTAAGTTATCCGTACCCTGACGAGTGCAGAGGTCGTTTCAGGATATGAATAAAATCCTGCCATCATTTTTAGTGATATTTTAATGACCAGTCTTTGTTTTGTAGGTTTTAATAGGCCAAGGCGACATGCAGCTGGCATCAGCTGGTAGTCTTCTACAAGACGCATATGCTCTTCTCAACAAAAGCTGGGCTGAGATCGAAAATGGACGGATTGCTCTTGAGGTGAGCTGCATACGCACACATCTGCCTGTCTGACTTTCTGACTTTCTTGACTGTCTGACTGTCTTTTCACCTGACATGGGTCAATTCTTTTCGTTTTTGTAGGAGTCCAACAAGATTCTGAACAACGACCTAGGACTCAACAGCCAGATGACTCAACTTAACACCAGCCTATCACCAACATATAGTCGTATTCAATCTGCTAACCTATCTGTGAATGTGAATGCAACCAGACATGCTGCGAACCTGACGGCAGAAGCAAAGCTAAGGAAAAAGTACAATTAAAAAATATAGAGACTGGGGAGGGGGGAGATAAGGTAGAGGGACTCAAATACCGCAGAGGGACTCTCATGAGGCAGAGGGACTCTCATAAGGCAGAGGGACTCTCATGAGGTAGAGGGACTCTCATGAGGTAGAGGGACTCATAAGTTAGAGGGACTCTCATGAGGTAGAGGGACTCTCATGAGGTAGAGGAACTCTCATGAGGTAGAGGAACTCTCATAAGGTAAAGGGACTCTCATGAGGTAGAGGGTCTCTCATGAGGTAGAGGGTCTCTCATGAGGTAGAGGGACTCTCATGAGGTAGAGGGACTCTCAT